AATAAATAAATAAATAAATAAATAAATAAATAAATAAAACCTATAGACTGAGCAAACAAACAAACAAAAAGGCATTTACTAGTTGTAGCAATAAAACACTCAATTCATTTGTCAATATTAAATTAAAACACAGTATCTTCCTAGTTAGAGATATAAAATTATACTTTTTATCACAATCATCTAACATACGAGATAATGCTTTGTTCTGAGAGTCTCAAACAATCTGTGAATTGAGCTACTTTACTTTTTAAAGGAAAAACTCCTACTTCTCAAGTCCTGGTTACAGTTCCCAGCATATCATAGATATCCAATAAATATTTTAATTGAATCAAAGTAAATTTATTGAAAAATATAATTTTTTAAGAATAAAGTTCTGGGTCCTAAGAATCTAATTGTTGAATATCCAGAAAACATATTAAAAACATTTAACATTTAAATGTCAAAATGAAATGAATAAAAAAAAACTTTTATTTGATTTCAAAAAAAAATTGGCCTCAAAGATAAGTATCAAAATTCAGCAGCTCATTCAGAGTTCAGTGTTTCTGTTTGTTTTTATCAGGTTGATTAATAAGAACATTCCTGGAAAGATTCACATGATTTGTACTCAAAGTGATTCTAGCCTGTAAGGGAGAGGATACATGCACAAACAGGAAAAAACTGGTATAGTCTTCTACAAGACAATAAAAGGAAAGGAGGAGCAAACTTGTATTTAACATACACTGTATACCAAACACTGCTTTACATATGTTATTCTATTTAATCCCCATAATAATCATACAGGGTTAGTAGTATTATCTTCAACATATTGATGAAAAAAGAGATTCAAAAATCAACAAATTTAGAGGAAATAGATATTTTACCCATTTAAGGATCAGGAAAGTTTTTCTTGTAAAAGATTGTATTTGAGATGAGTCTTGAAAAAAGACAGAAGATTTAGATATGCAAGGAAGGAAACAGCATGACAATGAATATGAAGTCAGAAAAGTGCTGAATTTATCCAGAGGAGCAGTTTGTTCAGAGCAATTTGATACAAGCAAAGAGGAGTATGAGAAACAAAACATTGAAAAGGTAGGTTGAGCCAAAATGTGAAATCTCCTGACTGTCAGGCTAAGAGTTTGCAATTTTTAAAAATTTTTTTTAACGTTTTATTTATTTTTGAGACAGAGAGAGACAGAGCATGAATGGGGGAGGGGCAGAGAGAGAGGGAGACACAGAATCCGAAGCAGGCTCTAGGCTCTGAGCCATCAGCCCAGAGCCTGACGTGGGGCTTGAACTCACGGACCTCGAGATCATGACCTGAGCCGAAGTCGGCCGCCCAACTGACTGAGCCACCCAGGCGCCCCCTAAGAGTTTGCAATTTATTTGTCTAAGGGCTGACTGGCTTGGTAATGAGACAAAATAAACATAGATTTCAGGGGGGACATCATAGGAAATAAATGTTCCAGGTGAGAAGTAATGAGGGCTTGGACTACAGGGTAGATGAATGGGAGAGGAAATGGGTTCAAAAGATGTTTATAAAGATATCAGGGATAGTTTTGGCAAATAATGGAAGGTAGTGGGCCATGGAGAGAGGTATCAAAGATGACTCCACTCTTTTAAGCCTGAACAAGTGTAAAGGCAATGTT